TCTGGACCAGGGGGAGCCTCGGGGCTAGCTCGAGAAGCCGTGTGAAAAGTTGAGTTCCCGACCCCGCATGCTCGATTTGCAGCCCGACATGTGGTCGCCAGGGCACGTCACACAGCTTGCACACCACGTATGTTCGAGCGAGCCGCAGGGCAGACGACCACGTAATCTAAGTGCGAGGGCTTGTGCCCCCCCCCCCCCCCCCCTGGGGGCACAAGCGAATTCGATCGAACTAGTTACAACCTGCCCCCCCGTGCGCTCGAGAAAACATGTCTTTTCGAGGGCGGCTGGGGTGCAATTCCAATCCGCTGCGATAATCCAGGGCAGCTGGAGCACAGAAACGAGGCTGGCTAACTTACGGAAGCGAGTAACATTCTGATCACGAAACCCACTGGACGAGCGACCATAAAAGGTGATGCCCACACTTCAACACCTTTTGCAATGCACTAAAGTTGGAAGACATCAGTCGAAAGTGGACCCTCGGTCGGCCTTCAATTGTGAAGCCGCTCTGGCCTCATTTAAATTCTGCACAGGGAGATGATTGCGAGCATGCAAAAACTCACCCCTCACATGACTTGTCAGAAACTTGCGACTGGAACCACTTCGCCTTGGGCCTGGCGCTGTTGGTGAGAAGCTTGAAGGAACTCTCCCTCGCCTTCTTCCGCCACGCAGTGATGCCCTTGCCCATGACGTGAGTTTCGCAAATATGAGAGAATGTCATACTTGGCCTGCTGTAAGTGTTGAACGTGCCCCCACGACTTGTCCCCCATGCAGTTGCTATTGCCAAAGAACAACCAGAGTGATCTATCTTCAGAAGGCCCCTTATCAGCAGTAGAGGCCCCCGTGCCTCGTGACGCTGACAGAGAACTTGATACCAAGGATCCAGTAGGGGGACTGAAACCCGAAGATGCTGAACGACCAGTAGACGCACTGACCCCCGACGCGGCTGAACCAGCACTCGCGGCGCTGGCACTCCTGCTCCTCGCCGAGCCACGCGACGAAGAGCGAACTGCTACAGATAGTCGCTCCTTCTTCTCGCCGTCGGGCGAGTCCTGGCTAGCGGCCCTGGCAGCGTCGGCAGCCGCCTGCGCTGCCTGGGCCCTGAACTTCTCGGCCGAGAGGCGCGCCGCCGTCTCCTTCAACTCCTGCTCCTCTTGCTGCTGCGCCTGAGCGGAGTCGGCGGCCCCCAGCCGCCGCAGCGTCGGGCTCGCTCGCGCCCGCTGCGGCTGCAGGGGGGGCCACCGTCAGCACCGCCTGCGGCGGTCTGCTGGCCGTTCTCGCCCTTGCGTTTCTTCTTCATGCGGTCGTGGATCTCGGAGTGCGCCGCCTTCGCTTTGTCGATGAAGGTCTTCCACTCCTTATCCTTACCCTGCGCCTCGGCGCGGTACCTCCCCAATTCAGCTTTCAACGACCTGAGCTGAATCTTCGCAGACTCCTCAATGTCCCGGCTCTCGAACTCGGCGAACAGCTCGTCGTTCATCTCGACGCCGAAGACCGAGGCAGACGGCTTCTCAGCCTTGGGCGGCTTGCAACCCTCGGCCTGCGCAAGAGCCGCAGTGGTCGCCCGCTTGGCGGCGTCCATCTTGGCCAGGTCCAGCGCCGCCTCCTGCTCCTTCTTCTCTGCCAGCTCCAGTTGGCGCCGAATGCGGCAAACCTGTGCCACGAGCTGGTCGTGACGGTTGCTCGCCGCCTTGTACGCTCCGTGAGTCTTCTTGACCTGATCGACCTCGGACGTGGCCTGGCCCGCCTGCGGCATGGTCTCAAGCCGAGTCTTCTGTGCGGCCAGCACCGCCTTGAGCTCGGGGTCGGCGGCCTTCATGGCTTGGCCCAGCAGCGCCGCAACCTCCGCCAGAGCCGCGGCCTTGCCGCCCTTACCCCTGCGAGGGGTGCCAGGCTGCACGCCGTCCTCGAAGGTGACAGACTTGGGGCTGTAAATCCCTGGCGCAATCTCAATGCTGCGCTCCTCGGACCGAGACCTGGGGCGAAACAGCCTGACTTTCTTCGAGCACTTCGGGCATTTGCATCCTGTGGCCTCGAGACTATCATTGTATTCGTACGTGTGACAGAACTTGCACTGCGACCAAGGACGGGTCGCGACCATGACTCTGCACGGAAACAAATTCCCAGCTTTCGATCTCAGAAACTGAATGTGGGGCAGTCAGTTGCCGAGATCCCTCAAGCACCTCGCGAAGGTACTGGGAATGCCCGAACAAAATGCTCGGGCCGATATGGCTTGAGGGAAAAGGAGGGGGAGGAGGAGGAGGAGGAGGACGACGACGACGGCGGCGGCGGCGACGACGACGACGGCGACGACGACGACGACGAACACGGGGAGGAGGAGGAGGCGGAGGAGGAGGAGGCGAAGACGGCCTGCTTCCGTCGCAGCCATGCGCCCTCGACGCCGCTTGAAGGGTTCTGGGCGGGGCACGCGGGCGCCTCTGCACCTCGGCCCGACCGTGCGAGGTGCCCTCGCCTCTCGGCACGAGCGCACGGGCCTCTCGGGTGGCGCTCGGCGGATCGGGGCCCTGGGCACCGAAGGCTCCAGCCGGCCTTTCGCCAGCGAAGGGTTTGGGCACCACCCTCTCGCTCTGCATCACTCGGACGTGTGAGCTTTGTTCTCGGCGAGGACCATCGAGGAGCATCCTGGATCGTCGAACCCAAAAACAAACGAACAAACAAATAGAAACACCGACCCAAACAAGTGCACGGTGAGTGGACGGCCGAGCGACGGCAAAATCGACGCCCTGGGCGGCGAGGGGTCCTTGCGGCCATTCGCCAGCGGAGGGTCAGGGCACCACCCTCTGAGCAAGCAGGGGCGGCATGCGCACAGACGCTTCCCGGGGTCTGCGGCGTGGAGCATTTCTTTTTTTTTGGGGGGGGTCGGCGTTGGGCCTCTCATGGCCTCTCCTCTCCGGGGGCGCAAGAGGACGTTCAACAGTACGACGCGCCCTCCTTGCAGGCGTGCGTCCGACCAGACCATGCAGTTCGGGGGCGGCAAAGACGGGGGTTATGACTAGGGGGGGGTATCAGGGCGGGGGCCATGATATCTCCCCAGATTTTATGGCGCCTCTTCTTATTTCATTACGTCCTTGGCTCCCCCCCCCCCCCATGGGACGCGCACATGCCGCTGGCAATGATTTGCGCCCCCCCCCCCCCTCTTGGACACCCCCCCACCAGAGTAGTACAGCAGTATTATGGTATGGGCGATCGTCTTCTGATTCATTGTTTTGCCGATCAGCGCGGGCCCTCGCACCCCCCCCCATGGAGTCGATCCTGGCTGCTTTTGGCGCCCGTTTCAAGCAGGTGGAGCCTCCCACATAGAACGCACTGCTGCAGCAGTCGCATGGAGCAGAGGTCCAGAGCCAGACCCCCCCCGCTAACCCCCGGACCCCCCCTCCCCCGCCCAATGTCGAAACGCCTAGTGCGGTGAGGGCGTTCGTTAAGGAACGTGCCTCCAGGAGACCCTGGAGAATTCCTGGAAACCCCAAGAGGCCACCAGGATCCCCTGGAGGATTTCTTATCTGATGAGGGTGACGGTGATGTCCATGGCCAAACATCAGTTGGAGTTCCACGGGCTTCCAGACCCTGGATTCCTTCTCTAAGGCTAACTTGGGCCCGTCCCTCTACAGGAGGAATATTCAAAAATAGCTGTTTTAAGAAAAAAAGTCTCGGGAATATCGTTTGACTATTTTTCAGCACTTGGGGAGTATGTCTGACTATCTAAGATCTGTCGCCCAGACTCCCCCTGCAAGGGGGGACAGGCCCGACCCGAATCTGAGAGTTCGGTCCGGTGCCCCCACCGTGTGCCGCGCCCCCCCGGGCGGTGTGGCCCGAGCGCGCCCGCCGCGGAGCTCGTGCTGGAAGATGCTGTCTGAGCGTGCGCGCCGCCCCTGCGGGGCCGAGGCGCACAGGGGAGGAGGGAGGGAGGGAGGGGGGGAGGAGGAGGAGGGAGGAGGGAGGGGGAGGAGGAGGAGGAGGAGGAGGAGGAGGAGGAGGAGGAGGTAGGAGAGGAGGAGCAGGAGGAGGAGGAGGAAGCAGGGAGAAGCAGAAGGAGGATGAGGATGCGGATGAGGATGAGGATGAGGATGAGGATGATGATTGATGATGATGATACTGATGATCATGATCATGATGATGATGATGATGAGATGATTGATGATGATGATGATGTGATGATGATGATGCTATATGATGATGATGATGTGATGATGATGATGATGAGATGGTGATGATGATGATGATGATGGTGATGATGAGGATGAGGATGATGATGATGGTGATGGTGATGGTGATTGGTGATGGTGATGGTGATGGTGATAATGATGATGATGATGATGATGATGATGAATGATGATGATGATATGATGATGATGATGATGATGATGATGATATGATGATGATGATGATGATGATGAGATGATGAGGGAGGAGGAGGAGGAGGAGGAGGAGGAGGAGGAGGTATATTTGGTTGGCGCCGAGTTCCTGGTGCGCGAGGCGCGCCACGGGGTTCTGCGGTGGAGGCGCCGCCGGGGGGGAGCACGGCAACAACACAGGGGATCCACGCGGACCTCCGAAGGTATGCGTCTACTACCTGCTTTGTTGTTGTGGTGAGTTTTCTCCTCCTCCCCCTCCTCCTCCTCCTCCTCCTCCTCCTCCCTCTTCCTCCCTCCTCCCTCCTCCTCCTCGTCTTTCAGGCCATGGCTCACCTCGGCGAGCGAGGGGGGGAATTGAGAATGAGAAGGCCTTCTCAGAAGGTTCGGAAGCCCCCCGGCCTTCTGAGAAGTGATCTAGGCCTTCCCCAGAGATAAATAGAGATCTCTTCTCGGAAAGCGCGAGGGCTTCTGAGAAGTCTCGCCGCCTTCCGAGAAGGCCTTCTCCTTCTCATTTCCCCCCCTCGCTCGCCGCCGATTCGTAGTGTCACTGCCCTGGAGCTGGCCCCTGTGCTGGACTGTCGAACCGCGCGGCTGCAAACTTTTGCCTTTGGAGCCCGTTGGACGGTGATCATGGACCTCCACAAGGCCTTCGACAGCGTTCTCATCGGCCCGCTGATCGAGCAGGCGCTCGACCTCGGTTTTCCCATGAGGCTGGTCTGGATGTGCATCAGCTATTTCAGGATGCCGCGGGTGCTCCAGGCCTATGGGTCTTGGAGCCGCGACGTGGTGGCCAACGGCAGCATCCTCGCGGGCTGCGCGCACTGCGCGGCGCTGTTGACGGTGCTGCTTTTGAAGGCCGCGGTGCGCCTGCGCGGCATCGCGGAGCAGCTGACCCCACGATCGTTGATGGACGACCTCACGATGCAGTGGATCGGCCAGGTGGGCGACGGGTGCGTCGCCAAGCTGCGCGCGGCCGTCCAGGGCTTCACGGAGCATGTGCGGCCGCTGGGCATGCAGGTCAAAATGACCAAGTCGGGCTGGCTGGCAACCTCGCAGGAGGCCAGGAAGGAGTTTCGGCCAGCCACGTGCGCGCTGGCGCTGCCCGAGCGGCGGGGGCTCCGCAACCTGGGCCACGACGCGCACGGGGCGGCTGTGCGCAGGCCAGTGGCGCAGGCCAGGATGGCCAAACTCCAGGCGCGGCAGCACCGCGTCGACACGTTGGTCAGCATGGCGGGGCCCAGGGTCTAGAACCTCTGGCGGACGGGCTTGCTCCCGTCGGCGGCGTACGGCGCGGCGGTGGGCGGCGTCGGCGAGTCGCAGCTGGCGGAGCTGCGGCACAGGGCGGCGATGCTCTGCAGCGGGCGTGGGGGCGAAGGTGCGGCCTCCATCGCGGCGTACCTCGCGACGCAGGAGGGCTCGTTCTTCGACCCGGTGCACGAGGCGACGGCAGGCCCAGTGGCGGCCTACGCCGCCCAGGTGTGGGACGGCCACCTCCCGCTCGCCAGGCCCCAGCAGGCCTGGGCGGCGCCCCAGCGGAGGTGGGCTGACACGGCGCCGACGTGGCGCACGGCGCGCGAGCCGCTCGCGGTGGCGTGGATGAGCTTGCGACGCATCGGCTGGGACATGCACCCCAGCCCGGTCCTCCTGGACGACGAGAGGCGCGGGGTTGAGCTCCTCAGGCTGCCCCCCCTGGAGGTGCGCAAGCTGGCGCGTGACGGGGTGGCCAGATGGCAGGGGCGGCAGATCCTCAGCCATCGCCAGGCCGCCCCGCCGCCTGCAGGGGCCAGGGTCTGGATGCGCGGGGCCAGGCACGTGCTCGCGCCGCCCAGGGCCAAGATCCGCGGGCCGCGCGCTGGCCACCTGCGCACGGCGCGGGCGGGTGGTGCTTGGGACGCGGTGCGGCGGCACGAGGCGGGCTACATCCGCAGCCCCTACTGTCCCTTCTGCGTGGTGCCGACGCCTGGGACATGGGGCCACTGGTTCTACGAGTGCGAGAGGGTCGCCCCGATAGGCGGCGAGCCCGAGACGGGCGCGGCGCTAGCAGAGATGGCGGAGCTGCAGCTGAGGACCAAGCAGCGCATTCGGGACAGGTGCCACATCGGCTTGGGCGACGCCGACTACGACCGCTTCGACCTCATCGTCGGCCTGCCGATCGCGCCGCACGAGGTGCCAGCGGCGGCCAGGGTGGCCGACATCTTCTTGTGGGACGACTGGGCGCTGGACGACGGCATCGACACCGCTGTCGTCTTTCCCGACGGCTCGGGGCACGAGCCCGCCACGCCCGAGCTCACGCTGTGTGGCTGGGCAATTGTGCAATTGGACATGATGGGCTTGCCGAGGCGCGCCGCCTACGGGGCCCTTCCTGGCGCCCGCCAGACGGTGGGCAGGGCCGAGCGGTGGGCCTTCCTGCAAGCCTTGCGGCTGCTGCCAAGCATGAAGCTCTAGGTCGCCGACCTGGCGGGCCTGCAGCGCGAGATCCTGGAATGGGGCCCTCGCCATGCCAGCTCGGTCGGCACCTACGCGGACATCTGGAGGCAAGTGTTCGAGGTGAGGAGGGGCCAGGCGCCACCTGACGCGCTGCTGTGCCCCCCCCCGCCTCTCGCACATCGCGCGCGCTGAGCACCCGTGCCGCGACGTCGCGGACATTCGCGGCAACGGGTGGGCTGATTGATTTGCCAAGCAGGGAGCTCGGGAGCACGGGCTCCCTGCTGCGCTGGCGGACCTCCGCAGGGCGCGGCTCTCCGACGCCGTGGGGGAGGCCCCCGCGCCCGCTTTCTGAAGAGGCTCATGGCCGCGCATGTCGGCAGAGCCTTCCGCCGCTGCCGGCGGCGCCCGCCGAGATCGGCCGCCGACGCCGCGTCGTCCGTCGGCCCGAGGGCTGGGCGCGCACAGCCTGCTCGGCCTCGGCCGCGACTGCGGCCGCGAGGCGCCGACTCGAGCGGGGGGGATGTGCGTCCTCCGCCCTCCGCTCCCTCATGGCCCGCGCGAGGGCCCGTTTCCCCCCTCCGACCCCGCCTCTCTTGCCGCGGCGCCGCTCTTTTCGGCGCGTGAGGATGCCATCGCCGTCGCCCTCCGTGCTGCGGATCGCGTCCTGCGGGGCGTGCCGCCTCGGCCTGATGTTGGCCATCCTCGGCCCGCGGCCGCGAGGCCCTGCACTCCGTCGACTCCGCGCAGGCTCGGGGGCCGCTCGAGGCCCCCTCGGGGTGGGCCCTTGGGATGTCCTGCTGTTGCCTTGGCCCGCGCGTGGCGCGCGGCCCATCCTTCGGACGCGAGACCCTGGATTCGTGGCGCGCTCGACGGTGCCGACACGCCTGGGGACCCCGTGGGGGCGGGGGTCGGGGCTGGGGCTGTCGACCCCCCTGGGAGCCCGATGGGGCCCACTGCGTCTAGTGGGCAGAGGCCTGTGGCTCCGAGCGCTGCCGATTCGTCTCGGGTCCTGGGCGGGGGCCAAGGTGGGCCTGTGTTCGGCGGAGGGGCGGAGGGCCGCCCCCAGGGGCCATCCCGCGGTACAGCTGGTGCCCCGTCCAAGACCCGTGGGCCCCGTGGAGTCCCCTGGTGACCAGGTGGTGGCCATCCGCGGCCATCAGTTGGCCACGGAAGGCTTTTTCGTGTTTTGTTTCGTTTGCGGCGGTTCGGCCTCCACCCGCCGTGGGCCCGTCACTTGGGGGATTGGTAGAGCGCGGGCAGCGGCCCTGGGGCATCTCAGGGCTGGCCGACACCCCCGTACAGGATTCCCCCTAAGGGTGGATTCAGCGGCGACCAGTCCCCCAAGTTGCGGTAGGCGGCGGCGGACACCTGCAGGCCCTCGCGTCCTCCTCCTCCTCCTCCTCCTCCTCCTCCTCCTCCTCCTCCTTCTCCTTCTCCTTATCCTTTTTCCTTCTCCTCCTCCTCTTCCATTTCGCTGCCTCTTCTGCCTCCTCCTCCTCCTCCTCCTCCTCCTCCTCCTCCACCTCCTCCTCCTCCTCCTCCTCTCCCTCTCCCTCCTCCTCCTCCGCCTCCTCCTCGCCCTCCTCCCCCTCCTCCTCCTCCCTCCTCCCCCTCCCCCTGCGCCCGCCGCTTCCTCCTCCTCCTCCTCCTCCGAGCGAGCTTCTCGGAAGTGCATTGCTGGGTGTGCGTGCTTGTCGGCCGCTGGTGTCGCGGCTCAAGTCTAATTCAGAGGGCGGCGCATGGGGGTCATCTCTTTCCTTCGTGCCAAAGCCTTGCCGTTCGCGCTCAGTCAGTTGCCTCATGCAGTCCAGGTGCTGATACCAGGGCACGAGGACGCGGGCGGGTGCCTCCTCCTCTCGGAGCTCACGGGCAGCTTGCGGGGCTTCCGCGTCGGGCTGTGCGCCCTCTGCTTCTTGATCGGAGCTGCTGCGGGGTGCTGCTGCTGTGCCGTGGGCTATGGAGGCTGGCCAACGTGTCGGCGTCCTGTGGCAGGCAGGGCGGGACTGGCAAGTGAGAATCATCATCTGCGAGTGCCCGCCCGGGGAGTGCACCGACGTCGTCGGCGACCCAGTACCTCCAGCTCTAGTGACGAAATGCTTCTATTGCCTCACCCCAGACGGGGACATCTATCCGCACCTCCTAGCGGTCGGGCCTCTAGCTGGGGTGGTGGTGCTCGACAAGATGGGCCAGCCCATCGACTCCGCGTCCGAAGGCCAGAAGTTGCGGAGGAGACACTCGGTGCACGGCGCCGACTGGGAGCCGACGCCGCTCGACTACGTAGCGGCCTTGCAGTTCTGCCGCCCCGAGGTTCTCTCCAGCGGTCACCCGAGCCGGCGACTCCGTAGGAAGCAGCCGCTACCAGCATCGGAACGCCGCCAGGGGATGGAGCAGTGAAGGTTCCGACTAACATGGAGGTCTCAGATGGGGCCCCGCCGACGCCGCCCGACGGGCACTGCTGGGAGATCCTCGCCACGACGGGCTCGGACACGGCCCGTGCGGAGTTCTTCGGCGGCGCGACCGACGGATGCGCAGTCGCAGGTGGCTTCGGGCTCGTGGTGATGGGCTCGGAGGCGCATGTTGTGAGAGTGGTGAAGCGTGACGAGCTCGGAGGCGACGGGGACTTAGACGCCCGTGTGCTCAGCATCGAGGTGAATTCCGAGGGGGAGCGGCGCCGCCTGTTCAAGGATGCCGTCAACCTCCTCAGCGAGACGAGCTGGCCCTTCTGGCCAGTGCTCGGCCCGCGCACCACTCGCTGGCGCCTGCGGTTCCTGGCGGACCAGGACGCTCGCCCGCGGGCACGGCGCACGAAGTGGGGGCACGAGACCGGGCTCTCATCGAGCGACCCTGGCGTTGCCGAGCACGAGCTGTGCATGCGCGTGTTCGACGTGGCCATGTCTTTCGACCAGCTGAACGTCAGCGAGCTGGCCTCCTTCGAGTACATCGCGAGGCGGGCGCAGCTCATCGAGCACCGCTACCGCGAGAGGGCCATGGGCCGGTCCGACGGCATCGACGGTGCCGAGGACGACTACCTCATGATGGGGACCTCGGAGACGCGCGGCCACCTGATGATCGCGCCGGAGCTCCAGGACTACATCACGGCCGAGCTCCACCGCGAGGCGGGCGTGCTCAAGGAGCGGCGCAAGCTTCGCGAGGAGCGGGCCATCTCTTCTCGCGGCGGCGGCGGAGGCGGCGCAGGCAGGGGCGGCGACGACAAGGGCTCGCTGCAGCAGAAGATCCAGCAGCAGGCGGCGGAGCTCAAGCGGCTCCAGGCGGGGCGCGGCAGCGGCGGCGGAGGCGGCGGCGGCCAGCAGGAGGGCGATGCCGGAGGCGGCCGCGGTGGCGGCCGCGGGGGCAAGTAGCCCACAGGCGCCGCCCGCCGGCCGGGCTGCCCCTGGGCGGGCCCTGCCGGCTCCTCGGCTGGGATGGTGGTCGCTCGCGAGCTGCCTATCAACCTGGCCGCCCTCTCGGCCCCGCGCGAGCCGCCTGGCGCCGGCCGCTGCAGTCGCAGCGTCCGCAGCCGGCTCCTCCGCCGGACCCTCGTCGACGAGCGCGTGCGTGAGTCGGTGACCGCCCTCAACCTTTTGTACAACCGCGGCGAGGCCCAGGCCTCGCACCAACTTTCTCTCGCTCAGGTCCGTGGTGTCGAGCATCTCCGACATGGTTGGGAGCGACTCGGTGCCCCGGAGGTGAGCCCCGCGGCAGCCTGCAGTGAGCTGTGCGGGAGCAGGCCCGGGTACGGTGATCCGGTGAAGACGGCTCCTTACCAGCGAGACCTCGTCTCGCTGCCGACCGGCGGGGTCCTGGCCGAGGGGGGCCGGTGCCTCGGCGATGCGGCTTTAAGTTTCTGGAAGGAGTGGCGACAGCATCCTTTGCGGCCCGGTGTCAGCCGGGAGGTAGTGCAGAAATTCAAGCCCCACGTCGACAGTCGACTACGTGCGAAGGGTACCTATGCCCAGTTCGTGTTAGACCTCCAGGCCGCCGGTTTGGTGAACCTGAGAGGCCGCCTCGACGCGACCTTGGGAGTGTTCTTCGTGTGGAAGAGTGATGGCGTCAGGCAGAGACTGATATTTGACACTCGAGGTAGCAACGAGTTTTTCAATTCGCCCGAGTATTCTCAGTTGCCCACGGCTAGTGCATGGAACTTTTTGTATGTGCCAGATCAATGCGAGCTCTCTTCGTGCCAGGCAGACGTTGACAATGCATTCTATCGGATCGGCCTGCCCGCAGGGATTGAAGATTATTTTGTCCTCCCTCCTGTCTCCTGTCGTCACCTCGAGGCACTTTGTCCAGGCAGCTCCGGGGAGCTTCGCGGGGTTGGGGAGCTCTCGCCCGTCCTCCGCGTGTTACCCATGGGGTGGTCTTGGTCTTTATACTTCTGTCAGTGTATGGTAGAGCAAGCTGTTAAAGGGATGGTCGGGGCGTCTGAACAGCAGTCTTTCACAGGCCTCACGTTCGAACGCAGCTCTGGAATCATTTCGCTTTCGACCCGGCGCTTGTGGAAAATTCGCCTGGGGCTCTTGGAGCTCTGCCGTCAGGGCTGGTGCACCGGGGTCCAGATGCGCCGGGTCTTGGGCCATTTAACCTGGGCCTTCTTGTTGAAACGTGAGCTTTTGTCTATCCTCAGCAGCGCTTTCCGTTTTTGTGAAATGGCCGGGGAGCAGCGGTGGCGTCTCTGGAGTTGTGTGACTCGGGAGCTGCGGATCGCTGCAGCACTTCTGCCGTTCGCCGCTGTCGACACCAAGAGGCCGTTCGACCCGTGCGTGATGGCCTCCGACGCTTCCGGGGCCACCGAGTTCGACTTCGGGGGTTTCGGCGTCTGCGAGCGGGCTTGGGACTCGGAGGCAGTTCGAGCCGTGGCCAGCCGTGCGGAGAAGTGGAGGTACTGCGTCGAGGATGCCATCTGCGGCCGGGAGCAGAGTCTCGGGCTGGTCCCTCAGGGCCCCTCCAAGCCT